ACAACATAAGAAAAATTAACTTCATTAATCTGGATGCAAATACAAAAACTTGAATGAAAGAACACCGAGGCAACAACCCCAGGGGACCAAGCTACCACTAACCCTCCCGATGCATCAACAGCATCAACAAAAAAACAATGAGAATTCTGAAAACCCAAACCCCGCATACGACGGGCTACTACTTTCCGGCTCGATCGTGTCTCCGAGAAGAACACAAGATCCGGCTTATTAGAATGCAATAAACCCAAAGCTGTTTGGAACGTGAGGGATGGTCCAATTCCTCTCACATTCCAGGCGAGAAGCCTCATTTAACTGGGTGGGGCCATTCCAGGCTGGCTTCCTCCACCTTTTCCGACTCATCTTTGTCCTCCACAAACTGTTTTTTGGGGGTTGGGATTTCTGCCATCGTCCCTTCCATCTCATCAAACTGACGTTTCCTAGCACCAGTCCCTACTTCTGAGAGATTTGTCCCATACTCATCGAGAGGGAAATCCGTAGGGTTTTCCAAAGAAGACTCCAGCACACCCGCCTTAGCCCGAACCTGAGCTTGGCCCGCGCCGTTATCTTCCTCTTTCTCCTCCATGGCCAAACCACGTTCAAAGGCTTTCACCACTTGACTGACCCGAGCCGATTTCACCAGTCTTTGCAGCACCCCGGATCCCGACGGAACCCGGCGCTTGATTTCAAAAATTTGGTCGTCGGCCTCATCTTCCGTGAGAGTATCCTCCGAGTCCAGTGGGCCAGACATGGGCTCGGCCCTAGGAGATATTTCCCGGCCCACCGCAGCAACCTCTATCCCATCATGGGCCGAATCATCAACCAAGGCCGCCTCCCCGGCCCGGTACAAATGATTTCCCCCTCCAATCTTCCCCTTTTCCCTTCCTGCTCTTGTTGTGGAGATGCCACCAGGCTTTACAGCCTGGGTCGGCTGGGCCGGCCCATTGTCTCTTCTCGAGCCCATTCGAGGAGGCCCTGCAGCTTCCTTTTTGTTCATGCGAGGAGGCCCAGCAGCCTCCTTTTTGATCAGCCTGGTGGAGGGTCTCATCTCTTGCTTTTGGCGAGACTTTTGTGGCCCATCCTGGATAGGATCCATACAGGCTTCCCCTTGCCCTGCCAACGGAATGGGTTGGACAGAAAAATCATCCTCCGATTCCTCTTCTATGAGCAGGCGCCGCCGCCGCGTCATCCCTTGAGCTTCCATTGGAGGAGGGAGCTCTCCGCCTGTACCCGCTCCTCGCGATGCACCCTGCGTCCCACCAGCCTTCCTCCCATCCGCCGCTGCCACACCATTAGCAGCCCGGCCCAGCTTGCCATTTCTTCCACGCCGTCTCGGTGCCGAGGGCGCTTCTTGAAGATCATCAATCTCCATCGGGCTGGCCGCCGGAATAGCCTGCCCTCGCCCCCGCCGGTTGTTTTTACCCAGGGGAATTTTGGGCATTTTGGGGGCCTTTTGCATCGGAAATCGGCGTGGGCTCTTCCCTGGTTTATCACGAGGCTCAGCTGGCTCTGGAACAGCAAACGGATTGGTTGACGACCCCATCCACAGAGGGCTGTCATCCACCACCATTGCCTTGTTTGGGACAGGAGCTCGCCGTGCCCCGATCCCCGCACGATCTTCCATTCTCTTTTCCTGGTCCGGTTTGGTTCTAGCCGAAGAATTTATCCAGACCGATTTATGCTGGCCAGGAAAGCAGCGGTCAGAATCCTCTGCTTCGAAAATCTTCATTCCCATTTTCTTTGTCATCATGTGAGGCCCAAAGCGCTCCTTTCGTGATGGCGGATCAAACGTACAATTCTGCCGGAAATGCCCCACCCTGCCACAATTGTAGCAGAAGCTAGGGAGATGTTCATACTTGAACCGGATCCAGAAGGAGCCTGTTTCTTCATTCGAAGCCCAGATTTGTGATCGGAGCGGCTTCGAAAAATCAATGAGGGTTTTCACCTTAATAAAGGTGCTAGCCGTATCTGTGCAGGAGAAGACGCCAGCTTCGAGAACCCTACCAATGGTGGAGTTCGCCACCTTCCGTCCAAACTGCTGAGTGCAGCATTCTTCTTGTACATCCCACATTTGGACACGAAATGGCACAATTGCCATCTCCTCAAAAGTACGAGCAGTAATGGTTGGCGTCCATGCACGCAGGTGAAGGATTCTATCCTTAATCACCCAAGGGGTACGTTGAAGTACCCAATTCTTTGCCGCTTCAGTCGGGAGTACGAACTCATACAGCCCGTGAGCCGCCTCCCTTACCCTGATTCGTCCCTGGCCTTGCCATGGGTTATTGGTCGCCTCCCGAAGCTCGGTTAAGGTCAGCCGATCCTCAGAGAATACTCGGCCCAGCAGCATCCTCGACTTGCTTACCCGATCAGCTTGGATCTCTGACAGAGTGAATTCCACAACCTGATCCCTGGAGATACGTGCCATGGTAATCGTCTGCACCAAAGGAGGAAAAGGCATGTTACCAGGAGGTATCACGGCTGATGCACCGCCCAGGGGAGTCCATGGGTAGCACGAGAAATTCAAAAGGATGTTTATGCACGGGTTATCATCATCCCACAAACATAGAAGAGTATCCGAGCACAAAAATATCCACGTACCAGAGTATTTCTCCCGAGTATAAAGCTGGCCGCCACTGTTAGTCTCCCACACGTTCTTGTGAAAATGGTGAGAGCTATGACTTGCCGGCCGCTTTAAATAGGCAGGAAGGGCTAACAAACCCTTCTGCAGCGGGAAGTTTACCTGGATAGGGGAACTCCTCAATTTCAAAATTAATATACGGTTAGTGTCTATCCCTAACCGCGTAAAGATACGGCGGGTCGCAATATCCCCACGGCCGTTATATTTTCCCGTGGAATACGCAGACCCCCTGAGTTTTCGCTGGTCGGTCACTAGTCCAGGCCGCGTACGTTTCAGGCAGATGATCGGCGGAGATTCGCCTGGGTTCCGCCGCATCAACGGTGGCCGACGGCGGACACAAATTACTTGCGCCGCTGTATCACCAATCCTCCATGTCGATCTCGCCTCCATTCGGGGTCTGAGATCCGAGCTCGCCCCATTGCGGGATCTAAGCTCACAGCAAGGGTGATCCGAACTTGAATCATGATTCTGACCAGTAGCCTTGCTTTCTTTGATTTGATTCCAATCCTGTAGAGCATCCTGAGATTCCAGGTCAATCTCCTCCGGCGACGGTAAGTAGAATCGCCACAATACTCGCAAAGATCGGCGCACTCGTTTGGGGTGCAGGGACTCCTGGGTTGGGTCATTAGAAGACAAATGCACTTCTTTCCTCTTCCCAGCCACGATCGGGCTGGTTTCCCTCCGATGGGAGTGTTGGACAAGTACCGTCTTTGGCCGTATTTTGCAGGGTCGCAACACCGGATTTCCTTGCATCGCCCCCTCCAACTGCATTAGGGAAGGCGCCCACCATTGCCTTCTTTTCTCTTGGTTAGAAAGGCTGATCTTGAAGACCCCCACCGCTGAATGGCGGAGGATCTCGCCGGCCGCTCGACACAAATGGAGAAGGATCGTAAAACAGAGCCTGAGGAGAGAGGTGAGAGCATCGAGCGCGGCCATTTTTTTTTTTTTTTTTTTAAGCCGTTGGAGTTATAATAGGGACAATGTTGAATCCAAAACTGCATATTCCCCATATTATATATATTCACTATAATGCTTCCCTTAATTACTAGGTTATTCACATTCAAATTCTTGCTGAATGCTTATAGGCAATTGATAGACTACGAATGTGCAAAGGCTCTAACCCCATTTCACTTACGAATGTGGAAAGGCTCGACATATCTGGTTGACTACCAAAACGAACAATGAATGTTTTTTTTTTTTTTCCCCAAAGATAACTCGTATTACCGAGACAAAAGAATTACACTAGAGTCACCTGGCCGCACGCAGCCAGGACAAAAATCCAAAACCAACCAGACTAGGAAACAATGAGAGGGATTTTCTGGCCACCAAATCGGTCACCCTATTCTCAGACCGTCCTACAAAGCGGATAGAAAACCAATGCAGACAACGGAGCAACAAATGAATCTCCTCAATGATCGCCCCGCCACGAAGATCTTGACTTTCTCCATTCGCCACTTTGTCAAGCACCACTTTCGCATCCCCCGCAAAAACCACTTGTTGAATACCACAAGACACGCACCAGCTGATGGCATCTCGAAACGCCAATAACTCCACCATGAATGGATCCACCACACCATCGTAAATCTTTGCCGAGGCCCCCAACACCATGCCTGTCGAATCCTGCAGCACCCACGCCCCTGCCCCATGTGAACCACGAGTAATAGCTGCATCCGAAAATACCCAGAATGTCCCTGCTGGGACACTCTCCACCCTACTCCCACCCCCTCCCCTATGCACAGCCATAGGGGTAACAACAAGTTGAACCTGCGGTACCGTCTCCCATTCTGACACTTGTTTGTTATATGTCTAAAATCATTACTTGTCATCCCTATTTCTATCAAATGAACAAAATGAAAAAATATTTAATAAAATTAGAGATGTCAATGGATTGAGTCAGGGGCGGATAGTGCACATTCATTACCCTATTAAAAATAGTTCGAGATTTACTCATACCCACACATGAATCGGGCAGAAAATTAAAATCATGTCCATATCTGAGGTTTCATGTATTTATGGTTATCCATGGGTAATAATTTTTTCTTATAACTCTAATAAACATGACATTACATAAGTGAAAAGTACGACAATAAATCATAAAAAATGAAGAATATATATTAAACAACACAATTCATAAAATATATTATATATGTATAATAAATATAAAAAATTTAGACAAATAATGACTCTTTCTAGTCAAAACATATATGCATAATATTTATTATCCGGCGGTTGTGGGTTGGAGAGGGAGAAAACCATGCATATGCCAGTTGAAGGTCATCTATTCAACTCTCCTTTTCAACAAACCATTAAAATTGTACCAACTATTCCACCAAAAGAATCGTCTATTGGAGCCCAAACTAATTGGTTAGATCGGTAATATGAAAGAATTGAATCATGATTAAACTATCATTTCTGCACAAAATACTCTCACTAAAATACACTATCACTGACTTTTCGAGAACAACCCAATACTAATTTCACAATATTTTTTTTTTTTTTTTTTTTTTTTTTGTATTTCATATTTGAGGTGGTTACTCATCCTCTTGTTGCTCCGCGACTGATTACCACTGGACCAGAAATGCCAGTTTTTGCACCAATCCCTCTCTCTTACTAGTTACTACTACTACTGCTACTACAGACTTTCTTCACAACTTAACAGTGATATTGCAATATAAATAAGTCGAATAAGACGATACCAGAAAGAAAACAAAAGAAGACCACAAAACAGGGGAGGAAAAAATAACAGAACACAGCAGAAACTAATGTCCTGTAGGAGAACATAATGGATGAGGTAAACCAACATAAATGGCTGTCCATATTCCAAGCTTGTTTTCGTGCTTGGTAAAGTTTTGTTCTTGTATAATGAACTTTTCTCATGGTTGGAGGTATCCCTTTGCCTCCAAGAAATTAACGACTGTATCCGCCATCTGCTGTGGGGAAGCACAGTCACCCACCTCGCATTTCAGTGCTATCTGACAAGACCAACACGTGAATCAGAAAAGAAACACTGCCTAGTTAGCATAACTGGAAGCATGTACGCTAGGGTTCAAACTGAGAATTTGCACAGTTGGCGACGATCAAAAGGCAAAACGACTATGCTACTTGGAAGTTTAGACAATGCAGAAATAGAGAGCTGATGGATTTAACTCGCTTCATTAAGATGACCTAGTTGAAAGATGTACTACTACTACTATAGGCTTTAAGATCCCAGATCCCAAAATGAGCATTTACCTTATAGTGAGGTCAATGGTGGTTAATATATTATTTTTGTATATCCTATTTGCTTCACCATTTAGCCACGAATCAGGGAATCGAACACTCAAAGAACCCTACAAATGCATATTGAATGAGCAAATGCTTAATGTTTCTGTTCGGTTTCATGGTAAAACATTACCTCACAGTCTGTTGGTGGCTCATATGGGTCATCAATACCAGTAAAGCCTGCAAAACGGGAACTATCGTCTTCAATTGGTCAAAGTTCAATGTAGGTCAAAGAAATAATTAGCAGATTTATTCCAAGTGTTTTGCATTCACTCTGAATACTCATTCTATGCTGCCACTCGTGGAATGGACCTTTGAACCAGTAAAGCTAGGGAAGGTTTCAAAAAGTTCCTATGAAAGGTCTTCACTCGGGCTGCCTCTTTTCAACTCTTTCTTAGGCTCTCTCGCATGGATTTGCAGTCTGTTATGCTCTTAGTTTATATTCTCTTGGCTTCTTTCTATGGATTAATCCTAAGTGCGTTCGTTAGCGCCTACAACTAAGGATAGACGCGCACGTACATAAACAAGCCATAAAGGGGACAGCGGCCGGTCTTCCACAAAAGTCACAATACACACGAGGTCAACAACTACATCCATGCAACTGATTTCTTTTAAAGTGAGAAATTACTACATGTGTTACCATATATTACCCTTGATTTTCCCAGCACGAGCAAGCTTATATAATCCCTTTGGGTCTCTGGCTTCACAAACTTGGAGTGGAACATCCATGAACACCTGTGTCCATAATGGTTGTCAAAGAAATTTTATTACCGTGACGAGCAACTGAATTGAATCTTACACTTCATTGTAAGGAAAGGAAAGAGGACTAAAGAGTCAAAGGTAGTGATAAGCATCAACCTCAATAAAATCTCCAGTTGGTAACATAGCACGACAGGAATCCCTATCCTTTCTGTAGGGAGAGATCAGGCATGCAATGCAAATTACTCCAGCATCAGCAAACAACTTAGCTACCTCACCTAGGCATAAAAGAGTATACAAGACAGGATATCACACTCAATCCAAAGGGAAGTTAGGAAAATAGTTAAATTCTAAACCAGATCATTCTAGAGATAATTCAAAAAAAGTAGCTGACAATTCAAAGTATTACGTACGTGCTTACCAACTCGGCGGATGTTCTCTGCACGATCTTCTGCCTTAAAACTAAGATCGCGGTTTAGACCATGTCTTACATTATCTCCATCAAGAATGTAAGACAACTTCCCTCTTTGATACAAGATTTGACTCAACGCACAAGCCACAGTGCTCTTCCCTATCAGTTGAATTCCAATAAAAAAAAACTGGGAAACGTCAAGTGGAGAAATGCACAATGAAATATGCCACGTTGGGTTATGGATCCTCCCTAAGGATGGTTCAAATAATTCTAGGTCAAGGGAACTTAAAACTCAGTTTCCTATCTAATAACAAAGAAGCCACATTGCAGAAGAACCCAATAGTAATAGGAAACGCTTGATACTTAGTCGAAGGCAGAAGATGGCATACAAAACTAGAATCAGTCATCAGGCAAGTTAAAAGAGTGGAGTAGCAAATATACCTGAACCACTGAGACCCGTGATCCATATGACACAACCTCTCTGATTCAGCAACATTTGCCTTTTCTTTTTGTCAACCGGGCAATCGTGCCACTTGATGTTTGTTGAATTCCCTACTGTAGATAGATTATTCCCTGTCCTAAAAAAGAGCACGTCAGGAGTCTACCCAGATCAGTTAAGGATAGCAAACGGTCCCATATCCTTTCCAGATGCCCAGTCAAAACACGGTTCCTTTACGATTTTGTAATAACTGGTTGGAGAAACAAAGACTCTGAATTGGAATCCCTAATTCGGCAAACAAGATTGCTCCTTCCATTCCATGTTAATTAAGTATTCCACATTGTTCTGCTTTCCTTCCTCTTTGCTTTACCACAAAAACCAGAAGAAGAGAAAGGTTTCGATCGGTGGTAAAGCAATCGACGATCAGTCCATTGGTTTGAGGATTCCGATCATCGTTAAGGTCGAGGTGAGATTTGAATATGTTGGGTGGGGGGAAACTTCCTCACTTGACCATTGAAACACAGAGAATGAGAGGGAAAGATTACCGGCGTGAGAGTGCCCGTTAACCGTTACAGCCTCCAAGCACGACTCCTTTGCCCCGATGCCACGGTCATCAACCCTCCCCGCTTGGTTCAAGCTCACCGGCGAGTCTTCCATAGCCTTGATTCTCAAACAGCGACCGCCACCCCCGTTCCTCCTCGGTTTGAGATTAGTCGCAGCGTTCGCGTCGCGCGAGGTCCAGAATCCCGCCTTCGGAGTAGCGATTCCCGGCAGCGGCTTTGTTCCGGCCGCATTCATTCGGGAAAAGGAAAAGAGCGGCAGAGAAAAAGGAGAGATGGTGGTAATAAAGGCGACAGAGCTAAAAGCGGGACGTTATCAAATTTAATAGCGACCCCGAAAGAAAGGGAAAGGGATCGAAGTGGGTGCATTGCATTGAATTGAACGATGGTGGTGGGGGGTTTTCAGTTTACCAAAACTGGGGAGGCAATTTGGAGGAGACAACTTTTTGGCTTGCTCATGAGAACTTTTTTCCTTTTCTTGCTGCTTCTTGGAACTGTGGCGGTGATTTTCCCTCTGCTCTGCAGAAAATCACTGAGGCGTTACAAAAGTGGAACAAAGATGTTTATGGTAACATCTTCATGAGGAAAAAGCAGTTGACTAACGAGCTGAAGTCGCTGGAGACGCTGAATGAAAGGAAACCATCTAGGAGTTCCATGTTGAGGGAACAGGAGGTTAGAATTTCACTAGAGCACACTCTCTGGGAAGAGGAGCTACTGTGGATTCAAAAGTCCAGGTCCAATTGGGTTATCCGTGGTGATCAAAACACCCGATTTTTCCACAACAGTTGCTTGAGCCGGAGAAGGAGGAATAAGATCTTAACTCTCAAGGACGACCAAGGAAATTGGATTGGAGATGCAAATGAGCTTCAGATTATGGCCAGGGAGTATTTTCTTAACTTATACACGAAGGATACCTCTTGTGCTTTGAATAGTTTGCCTGCTGATTTCCCTTTGCTTGATGAGGGCCTCTTGAGCAGGTTGGCTTTGCCTCCCTCTCTTGAGGAGATTAGATCCATTGTTATGGATATGAATGGGCTTAAGGCCCCTGGGAAAGATGGCTTCCAAGCCATCTTTTACCAAAAGTGTTGGAAGCTGATTGGTTCTGATTTCTCTAGGTTTATTTTGTCATGCTTCTATAACCCTAGTAGAATCCAATGTTTGAATGATACTCTCTTAACTTTGATCCCTAAAGTGGACAACCCCTCCTCTATGAACCAATTTAGGCCAATTAGCTTGTGTAATGTGGGTTATAAGGTTGTGGCCAAGCTGCTGGCCAATAAACTTAAGCCTCTTATGCCTGATCTGGTTAAGAAGAATCAGTCTAGCTTTATCCCTGATCGACACATTACTGACAACATTGTCATTCTGCAGGAAACTGTTCACACAATGGCTAAGAAAACTGGAAAGAAAGGCTACATGCTTCTGAAGGTAGATCTTGCTAAAGCCTACGATAGGTTGGACTGGAAGTTCCTGGAGGATACACTGAGAGCAGCTAGGCTGCAGGAAAGCTTCATCAAACTCGTTATGGAGTGTGTGACTTCATCGAGCTTCCAAGTTCTGTGGAATGGAGGGGAGACCGAGTGTTTCAAGCCTTCTAGAGGACTTAGGCAGGGATGTCCCTTATCTCCCTATCTCTTTACCTTATGTGTTGAACGGCTTAGCAATTGCATCTTTGAAGAGGTTAAGACTGGAAAATGGAAACCTGTTTCCCTCTCCTCTGGGGGTCCTGCCCTCTCCCACCTTTTCTTTGCAGACGATTTAGTTTTGTTTGCTGAAGCTACCCCCAGTCATGCTGATGTTGTTCTGAACTGTCTTGATAATTTCTGCCTGGCCTCTGGAGAGTCTGTTAGCAAGGATAAATCTAGGGTTTTCTTTTCTAAAAACGTTAAGAACCATACCAAAAATGAGATTTGCACAAGACTTGGCATCCAAGCTACTAATGACCTTGGTAGATATCTTGGTGTCCCTGTATTGCATGGTCGTATGACGAAACTTACTTACAAGTATGTCATTGATAGAATGGATCAAAAGCTGTCCAGTTGGAAAGCCAAGACACTCTCCCTTGCTGGGAGAGTAACTTTGGCTATCTCTGTCCTAAATGCCATGCCTAACTATGTTATGCAAACAACCCTCCTACCCATTTCTGTCTGTGATGCCATTGATAGGAAGGTTAGGAGCTTTGTGTGGGGCTCAGGGGAAGGGAAAAAGAAACCCCACCTGGTTTCTTGGGAAAAGATCTGTAGACCTAAGGATCAAGGGGGATTGGGGTTAAAATCTGCTCACTGTATGAATATGGCTTATATGGTTAAGTTAGGATGGCATATCCTTAACAACGACTCTGACTTGTGGGTCCAGGTTATCCAAAACAAATACTTCAAGCATAAGGAAGGCAACATCACCTCCATGAAAAAGACCAACCATTCCAGCTTGTGGCGTGCTATTCTGAAGGGAATGAAGATCATGAATGAAGCCACATGCTGGAGTGTTCGTGATGGAAGATCAACCTTGTTCTGGTCCCAACCCTGGCTGGATAATGGCCTCTTGTTGGAAGATTTTTCCCTTAGGGACTTGTCTGCCCATGATCTAGGTTCGAGGGTTGCGGATTGGACAACTGATGAGGGAGAATGGGACTGGGAGAAGCTTAAGGACTCCTTGCCTAGTGATATCCTTACTATGGTTGCAGGGATGGAAGCACCTAAACCAGATCTGGGTGAGGATATCACCATTTGGGGGCTTGAAAGGGATGGAAAGTTCAGACTTAAGTCAGCCTACAAGCTAGTCAGCGAGGAAGTTGATGTCTCAACCAACCACCCCTGGAAAGAGCTCTGGAAATGGAAAGGTCCGAGTAGAATCAAACATTTCTTGTGGTTGGTGCTTCATGATCGCCTGTTTACTAACAAGGAAAGATCTAGAAGAGGAATGACTACCGACAACGTCTGCCCTCACTGCAAAACTGAAGAAGAGACTATTGACCATATCCTGCGCGGTTGCCAGAAAGCAAGGGCTGTGTGGGAAAGACTGCAGAGCAAACTTGTGGAGAAAAACCATACTCTACCAATGGAGGATTGGTTGATGGCTAATCTCAAGAATGAAGGCTCAGGGATTGATTTTGGCATTGTCTGCTGGCACCTGTGGAAGCAGAGGAATGAGGAGGTGCTGGATGATAAATCTTTCTCCCTTAATGGCTTGATTGCCAGAATCAACTCGTGGTTTTGCATTGCTTGGCAGGCTTATTGCAATGAGCAGAAGACTGGGAAGCAGAACCATGTTGAGCGGGTCATATCTGAAGTGGGATGGAAACCACCAAGGGAGGGTTGGATGCAAGTTCAAACGGATGGCTCGGTGATTACATCAACTGGGAAAGCTGCTGCTGGTGGGTTAATCAGAGACCATCTGGGAATTTGTAGAGATGCATTTATTTGCAACCTCGGTCAGTGTTCAATCACGGCTGCAGAATTGAAGGGAGCTGCAGAAGGTCTCAAGCTTGCTTGGGAAAAGGGCTACAGGAAGGTGAACTTGATGCTGGACTCCTCTACTGCAATCAGCATCATCTTGGGAAGCTCCAACAGCAACCATCGCCATGGTAATATCGCCAAGCAGCTTAAGACTCTGCTTAGCCTGGATTGGGAGGTTAATGTTTCACATGTGTTTAGAGAAGCTAATCATGCTGCTGATTTTTTGGCATGTAAAGGACATGATTGTAATTTTGGCACACATTCCTTCGATGTGTGCGACCAAGGCCTTGGTCAATGGCTCCGCCATGATGTAATGGGTATCACCCAAGAACGTCTTATTATTAATACGAGTTAGGCGTTAATACGCCAATCTTATTACCAAAAAAAAAAAAAAAATTAATGGGTTAATATATTTGTATCGATCGAAATTTCCACAAATTATAATCTTTTCGATCTATAATATCTTGACCTCAACTATTTATCCAGAGTACAAAATTGATCAAACTCCAGATTTGACTATTATCTTGGATGGTCATGTGCATTGGCTAATGGTAAATGTGTTATGACACGCTAAAACACAACACCAAACTGCGACCAAGTGTAATCGCAGTCCGGAAATGCAGAATAGTGGCAAGTTAAATTTATCAACCCGGGACCTAAATCTACTTCCTACTCCGTGACTACCTGTTAGCAGTAAAAAAGCAGGAAATGGTTCGAAGTTCTTAAGCAAGGGAAGAGTCCCTCGGGAATGAGTCCCTCCAGCTCCTTAGTTAGGAAAAAGTTGTAATTACCTTTGATTGATTTACTGTTGATTAAACTGCGGAAGATCCGACAGTAGCTTGGAATCTCTTGAGCTGACCAAGCCCTCTCAGACAGACTACCCGGCAGACGACTAGTCTTCCCCGGGATAGAACGTTGAGGCAATTAACACAGAACTCCACTACTGGGATTGGATTCCAATACAAAGCAGTGATCGACTAATTCTCGTATAATCGATTCACTACTACCGATTGAAGAAGCTCTAACAACCTAATCAGATTCTATCTATCTTAGGTTGCAGCAGAAATCAAGAAAAGATTCTCAGACTTCAATTGACTCAATGAATCATGCATCAATCGATTATAATCAAGTAGTATCACAAACCAAAAGTCATTACAATCAATATCCCTAACACATGGAACTAGGGTTCTACTCCATAGAGAGAGAAGAAAACAGAAATCAGAGCAGTCATACTCATAAAGATGGGAATAATCTGCTCTGGGATGTCGATCTTCACTCCTGGGGATGCAATTTGGGTTTCAATGGTGAGAAATTCACTCCAAATAGCTCCTACGGTTTGTTCTTCGCACTTTCTCTCTCTAGAACTCTATTTTTGCTCTGAAAAATCGTCTCCTTCAAAATATGAGCCATCTCAAATAAAACCCACACAGGTGCAAAAGCAAGGCCTCTAAGCCCAAAAACACGATCGTGTTTTAATCAAAAGAGGTCGGGTTTCGGAATGACGGTTCTGTGAAATGTAGAGGAAAAACACGGCCTCTAGCACAAGGCCGTGTTTTTCACAACAGAGGCCGTGTTTGAGGGCGTGTTTTCCAACAGCTCTGCTGCCCGTTTTCTTGATCGACCTGCTTTCACCTCTAAAAGTCCCGAAACTCGTCCCCAAGCCATATCTACCTACTAGGACCTGAAATACGATAAAAGAACACAACCTAGTGTAAAATAGGTCAAGGAATGACCAATCACTAAGCTAAACGATCAAGACATGAAGGGGAAAACATGTGCAAATAAGGTGTTATCATGTCACTTCACTCGCAAGTTAGCTTCTTCTCCGTCAGGAGGAGATAGGTGCTAAGTAGGGCTGGCTATTTGGACCGGGACCGAATGAAAAACCGGAAACCGGACCGTATAACCCGGACTGAGACTAGACCGGGACCGGATAGTAAACAATCCCATCCAATCTTTGGGCTTAGATTTGAGGTAAAAAACCGGATAAAGACCGGATAAGAGAGCTCAACACCCAAAACTTAAGGGTAATTTGCATAAACGGTCACAAACCTTTACACTTAGTATAAAACTTAACCAACTCCTCACCCTTTTAGGCCTTAGGCCACTCAAATTCCCACAATCTCAATATAAAATCAAGACCGAATTGGGACCGGACCGGGTCAAGACCGGACTGTATCCAATCCAATCTTCGGTCCTTATATTCTCAAAAAAACAAGACTGGACCGGATCAATTTGGGCCAATTTAACCGGACCGGACCGTATAGCCACCCCTAGTGCTAAGAGTATAATAGTAACTAATCTCTTCCTCCTTCATCTTTCCTTTCTTTATTTTGCTTTCATTTTTGTTTTGTATACAAATTACAGTTTTGGTACCTGAACTTATGTATCTTAATATTTTAGTGTTTAAACTTAATATTTTTCCACATAAGTCCGAAAAATAATGATAAAAAATTATATATTAGTAACTACGTTTTTTCTTTTCATTTTGATTCCTAAATGTTTAAAATTTATAAATAATTCCATTGGCATGAGGTTTCTAGTTTGCTTTCAGAAACTTGTGGTGTGCTTTAATAAACTTGTGGTATGTTGTAATAAACTCGTGGTAAGCTTTATGAGGTTGTACTTGTAGTATGTTTGAGGAAACTTGTGGTCTTCTTTAAAAAACTTGAGGTGTGAGTTTTTAGGTTTATGGTATGCTTTTAGGTCACACAATTCGTCGTGTAGGGCTCGACGCTTCCGCTCCGAAGCGCAAAAACGAGTTTCCGAAGGAGTTCGCCAAAAAATTAGGATTTATTATTTGTTGGAGCGCAGATTTCTTTACAAAAATCGCGAATTTATTTAACGGGACAAAGGAAGAGGAAGTTTTGGCACTGGTTATCGCTGATTTGGTGAAGGAGATGAAATAGATGGTTGGGTTCATAGAGGAAGTCGGAGTCTCTGCATGCATCATCTGAAAGACGCTATTGATTTGCAGATCTTGAAACTTGTGGGGATGATTTTTGTCGATGATTAACAAGTTCATACACATTAGACAGGCTAAACTGCGTGAGATTCAAAGAATCAGTGAAGCTTGTCTGCGTTTGAAGAGGCAAAAAGAATGCAGTGAGTAGATGGAAGCTTTCTCCAAGAGAAAGGTGTTGGTGGACGAGATTTGGGGTGTGGTGAGGAGAGTTCAAGATAGTAGTAGATAAGACTCTGTCTCTGGAAGGGGAATTAGCGGGCCGGCTATTGCTAGGAGTAAGAGGGATATGGAATTGTGAGCCAACTTTTGAGTTGTTGTGTGTGGCTAGGTTAGTTTAGAATTAGGCCGCCACATTTGGGCCGATTAGTGGGGATTGTAGAGATTCTTTAGCTTTAGTTTTTATTTTTTTTTGGGTAACTAAGTCCATTGAAATCAACTATTTCATTTTCTTTTTGCAAAGGTGCATAATGTACCAGTTACAAAGTGCTTTATGAGTTAATCTTTTCTAGGTATGTAGTACTTTGTAAAAAAAAAAAAAAAAAAAAAAAATTTGCGAGACTTTGTCAAATTGTTGGTATTAATTTAAATAATATTTCAAGTAAAATAATAGAATATTAACGCTATATAGACGCTCTAACTATATAATTCTTCTAAAATAAACGCTCACACACTCTCACTCTAGCTCCCGCTCCACGAATCGGTAAACTAAGTATACTCTATGAGACTTGTGGTTTGCTTTATGAACTTGTGGTATGGTTTATGAGACTTTTGGTATGATTTATGAGGTTTTTGGTATGCTTCATCGGACTCGTTGCGTGCTTTAAGAAACTTGTAGTATGTTTTATAAATTTTATGATATTGGTGGTGTATTTTTTGACTTTTGTGGTGTGATGACTTTGTGGTATGCTTTCTAACCTTTATGGCATGTTTTCTCAATTTTATGATATGTTGTATGACTTTCGTCATGTGGTAGGTTGTGCTATATGTTCTAAACTTTGTAGTTTTTAATGGTGTGGTTTATTGTGTTTGTGTTTTGGATTTTATGGTCCCCAATTAACGCACCCCTTCTCCACTTGATGCACACACCTAGCTTGATCCTCTTCTCCCAAGTTTTAGCGTGCCCCTCTATCTCTCTCTCTCATTAATTGTGGTCAAGCCATTTTAATTAAAAAGTTATCAAAACAAAATAGGGCAAATACCACTAGGAAACCCGAACTATAAAGAATGTGTCATTTGTGTCCTAAAGCATCCAATATGACAATTGTGTCATAAACTATTTGTCCGTTAGAGTTGACCGGCGTTGACCGTTAGTTTTTAACAGAATGTCTTGTCAGCGCTGATGTGGCATTTGACGTGGAATTTTTTTTATTTTTTATTTTTAAATGAATAAACTAACAAAAGAAAATTAAAAGAAAAAAAAATCAGATCTGAAGATCTGCATCTCCAGTTGAACAACTCTATTCACAATCATCTTTATATCCCTAAACCAACAATCGCTTGGAAATCTTCACTAACGACCACCATCAGATGACTCCTCCTCCGCCCAGACAAGGGCTTTGCCGTCGAATCTGAGGGGAAGGTTGGATCGAGGCTTGGAAATCTTCACTCACGACTGCCCCGCTATCGCCTTCCTCTTGCGGATTCCTCTTCACTCACGACCACCATCAGATGACTCCTCCTCCGCGGCTCGCTCTTCCTCTTCTCCTTCCCCTCCTCATCCGGCCACAAAGACCCACTAACAAAGTGAAATGTCAACCCATTAGCTGTTTCTTCGATTGACAGAGGCTTTAACAATGTGAAAGTGAAAGTGAAATTGAAATTGAAACCGACCAGCTATTTCTTCGATTGGGTAATTGGATTTTGGGGGTTTTCTTGGTTTCAATGGAAGGTAGAGGAAGAAACAACGAAGCTGGCGGAGGGAGGAGCGGGCCTCGGCGGTGGTGAGGGCGAGCAGCGACGAGCAAGGTCGTTATTGGGGGAGGTCAGAGAGAGATTGGGGGTTTTCAGGGGAGGAGGATCTGGCCTCAGCGGCAGGGAGGGCGAGCAGCGGCGAGTAGGGTCGTGATTGGGGGTTTTCAGGGGAGGAGGATCGGGCCTTGACGACGGGGATGGCGAGCAAGGTCGTGATTGGGGAGGCCGGAGAGAGATTGTGGGTTTCAGGGGAGGGCGAGCAGGGTCGTGATTGGAGAGGTCGAAGAGAGAGTTTTTGTTTTATTTTTATTATGTTAATTTTTAATTTTATTTTTTATTTAATTTCGAATATAAAATATGAGGGGTCATTGACGTGGCATCTACTTGGCAACCGCATTTTTGTCACGTTATCAAAAGTCAATGTCAAGTTGACCACCGTCTGGTCAACCGTTATCTATAACGGTCAACGAAATCGTCAGGATATAAATGACACAAACTATAATAGGTTAGGACACAATTGTCATATTGGATACTTTAGAACACAAATGACACAATTTTAATAGTTCGGATTTCCTAGTGGTATTAGACCAACAAAATATTTCCATTGATGGGAGTTTGTATTATCACAAAATGTGTTAGCAGCCTAACTCTTCCTTTTTGTTTTCACTTTTTTTTAGAATAAAAAATAAAATGGGGTAAACATAAGGGGATTGGAGTGTATTCCTTGTGGGAATGGGAAATAATAATTGGGAGTGTTAGGTGGATGAATTTTATAATTATTCTCTTTAGCTCTGGTTGGGCCTAATCTGTCCAGTTTTAACCGTGAACCAACGATGAAACGCGCCGCATCCCTAAACTCTGTTCACGGACTGAGGTCTGAGAACTGACTTGTAACCTAGTGAAACCCTTCTATGCTTTGGATGTCTGGCAGTTTGCGGGGAGCGCCTCCAGTTCACCATCTTAGTGACCGTGAACTGTTGTTATTTCCACTGTTTTACTTCATCTTTCGCCCTTTCGTCCAACTTTCGACCCGAGAGTTGGTTCCACCTGCAAAAACCTGAAACATACCAAAACAAGGTACAACTCGGCGTAAACCAAATCTCTTGGAGTAAAAATGCTTCAAACGACTAAGCAAACCGGGGGTAAAAAATGTACAAATAAGCCCGAATCAACAATAACTAACAAATTGTTCATCTCGACAAACCGAAAAGGTAGGATCTTCAAGTCCGTTGAATTTGGGAAATTCGATCTTCAACCTTGGCACCTGCGACTGATTCCTTCGGTTGATTCGTGTCCCTTCATTGACCCTGGGAGCAGGTTGAGCAATCTGATCGAACCGATCATTCATCAGTGCAAAACTTTCTTGCATCTCCCTCAGCACCGTCACTTGTGTGTTCATCATATCTCTGAAGTCAGCTTCGAGTCGGGCGACACGCTCTTCCATGATTGCAACGGTGGGTTTTGGCATTGATACCAAGATGTTGTGTGCTTTTGCGTAGGACCTTGTAATCGATCTATCAATTCCCGGCCAAGGACGGGGTAACGGAAAAATCCCTTTGTCTCATTTGAAGCTATGGTTATCGGCAATGGTGATTAAGAAGTAGAATAGGAAAAGAAGAACAGTTACACTGTAACGAGAGAATATGAGGAAGAATAGAAAGGAAAAGAGGTTGGAAAAGTGAAGAAAGGTAGAACAAGAAGAAGTGGTTGGGTTGGAACATAGAATTAGAAGAAAACAGGGAAGGAGAAGATAATGGCAGAATTGGGGATAGGAAGAATATGAGCAGAGGGAAGAAGAAGGGAGAGAGAAAGAGAGAGAAAGATAATAGGCTCAAAGCCTCCAAGGTTTCTTAACAATATTATTCCATTATTCCCCATCAATGTAATCTCACACTTAAATAATAAAACAAAACCTAACTACTCACCTAATCCTACTCTGCGTCCATGGGAAGTGGGATCATGACTCTAACAATTAACAATACTAATAATTCAAATTGAAAATTGAAAAACAACCAAATTGTACGTGACATTCTTTCCCCCTTGAGAGGATTCTTGACCGCAAGAATCAAGAGTCTTCCAGGTCCATATCGTTTCATGATCACCAAACCCCACTTTGCAGGGGCTTCGAGCAAGAAAAGCTTCTTGCATCGATGTGTTGGATTGAAGGTGTCGTTGCAGTTGAAGTACAAACCTTTTTCGCATGCAGTTCCTTCGCTTCAGCAGGGGTAAGCTTCTTGACTGGCAAAGGTGTACGAGCACCTTCCATCGTCCTAGCCCGAGCCACTACTAGACCCTCCGCATGGTGGCTTCAAATGTCTTTAGCTTCGTACAGCCTTGCTAGACCTGTTCCAGCAGTTAGTGTGGCGGGTTTACAAACTTGTACATCGATCTGAAGGGACTCGCGTAACCCGTTAATGAAACAGCCAACCTGTTGAACCGACGTCCTATTTCCGACAGGAACCAGCAACTTCTCAAATCGTGTTGTGTACTCTCGGACGGTTCCCTCTTGTTGCAGCTTGGTCAGGTCTCCAAAGAAGTCTTCAAATTGGGTTGGCCCAAATCAGATGTGCATATCTCGCTTGAACTCCTCCCAAGTGAGGTTTTTCCTCCTTTAAGTACTTGCAGCCAAAGTTGCGACTCCCCCTCAAAGTTAATTGAAGCTACCAAGACTTTCTCTTTTTTCAGGCGTTTGGGGAGTTGAAGAAACGTAAAAAAAGAGGAAGTGGGCGTGTTGGAATATAGAGTAAGAAGAAAACAGGGGAGGAGAAGATAATGACAGAATTGGAGATAGGAAGAATACGGAGATGAAGATCAAGGAAGAGAGATAATAGGGTCAAAGCCTCCGAAATTTCTTAACAATATTATTCCATAATTCCCCCATCAACATAATCTTGCACTTAAATAATAAAACAAAACCTAACCACTCTTCTAATCCTACTCCACGTCTAGGGGGAAGGTGGATCATAACCCTAACAACTAACAATATTAATAATTCAAATTAAAATTTAAAAAATAACCAAATTTCACGTGACACACCCATCTATCCGTCGTCCTCTTCCTTTCCACTGAATTCACCGCCAGCGCCGCAACTTCGCCACCAACAAGAAGGTTTCCCGGGCGACCTGACTGTAACGGCAATTGGGTATCAACTTTCATAAGTTGGTTTTTCCTTCTCTGGCCAATCTTCCTCCATAGTGGGTCTTCATTCTCCGTCTGTTATAAACGCGCTGCTACGAATCGGGAAATAGCCGGAATCGTCAAAGCAAGAATACGAAAGCGAGAATCGAAAACACGACACGCGATTTACGTGGTTCACTAACACGATGTGTGTTAGCTACGTCCACGGGCGAGAGAGAGCCGATTTCACTATATCAAGGAGATTACAGATTACAGAGGAGTATGAGAAGTATTTATAGTACTTCTCCATGTGGGTCTAAACCTAATCCAATCTGCCAAAGGAAACGGTTACAGACCAGGCCCAGAACCCGAACCCAAATAACATTTAGCCCATACATCGTGGGCCGGGGGCGTTGCCCCTGGACCCCACTCGCTGACCGATCAGCGAGACCCCCGATTACCAGTCGTAGCGGCTGATAGTCCGATTCAAGTCATATCAACACCGTCCCCAGCAACGGACTTATTATAGCTATAGAGCAAACAAGAAATGCCAAAATAGTATACTTCCCGGAGGAGACCAGACCAGGGACCCATGGAAATTGGGAACAAGCAGGCGAGATCTCTCCGATGTGGATTGATCCTGTGACGAGCCTTCCTAGCAAGATGCCATGAAATTCTGCTCATGTTTCATTTGCAGCTTACGTCCGAATTGCAGAGTTTTGGAGCAATTGAACAGTTCTGGTTGCTACTTTGCATAATTTTAAAGAGTTTCGATCTCTCTTAGTCCTCCCCCCGAATCGCCATTACCGGTAACCTGTGTTTTTCTTTCTCTATATGGTATTTTATGTGCTATGATGGTCCGGTCAGGTCAGGGGCGGACCCAGGGAGGTTTAGGGGTGTCCCCGGACACCCCTAAATTTTGGGAAAACGATTATCCAATTTTCGGTGGTAATTTATGTATGAACAAAAAAAATATAATTGATAGTGAGGGACACCCCTTAAATTTGAAAAAATGATTATCCTACTGTCATTTGTGTATAGGAATATAAGTGGTAGGTTGGATAATTCAAATCTAGAACACTATTATTATTAATAAACTTAATTTCTGTTGAGCTAAACTAATTTGTTGTTCGATTTTGAACAATGTGTAATAGTAAAATGGCATTATCTATCTCTAGTTATTTTAAAAATCTAACAATTAAACTAATTTCAAACTATCCTTAATTTGTATTGATTTTATGATTGTACGGCAAGTGTTGAAAGAGTCTTTCAGCTTTGGGTTACATCAAGAACAAGTTTACAAATCGAATATGCGATAAGTTCGTGAATGATTGTCTAGCTAGCAGTGTATATAAAGACAATTTTTTTAACCTATAGACACCAAGTGTATTGTACAATTATTTCCGAATATGAAAACATATCATGGACTTTTTTAACCTATACGAGTAAGGTATTTTCATATTTATAATTTTATTTTTATCAATTATTTTTATTTAATTATTTTTTAAAAGAGGACACCCCTATGAAAAATTTCTGGGTCCGCCACTGGGTCAGGTCATTGTGATAAACTTATTTGTGAAGTTTTGAAATATGGTTTTGTGAGTTTCAGATCATTGGAGTTGGTGGGTATTGGTTAATTTTGAGATCTTTTCCTGAATGCAGCTTAGAAGATCTTTGAAACCCGTGATCAATGTTACTATATTGGTGCATTTTGAAGCTTTAGCTACTTGAATATGAAGAAGAGAATAGTGGAGCAGCATATCTTTTAGGAATTGAGGATGACCCAGGTAAATTTAACTTTCAAGGAAGGTTGAACATTGAAACTTGCATTATCTCTATAAATCAGTACCTAATTGAATCTATGCAAAGGCACGGGGTTGTTCCAGTTTGGGATACAAAACT